TTATTATCTTGCCATCATCAATATTAACTTCTCTCTAGGTGAACTTCCCAATTGTCATTACTCAACTTGGAGTGTTTGATAGTGATTCGGATGGACTTGAAAATGGCTTAACAATTCGCCTTTATGACAGGATCTCACAGGTGAGCATTCTCATCAGATAGTACACAGTTCAGCAAGTTTGGACTTGTGGACCCATTCCAGTTAAAAAAATGGAAGAAAAAAAATTCAAATTGTTTCAAATTTGACTGGCTTGCCTTAAAACTGGCCAGTTTTAATAGATCAACTTAACCACCTGCGACACTACAGCCAGGAACAACAAATCAGTGATTTTGTTCTGCAAATTTCACTCACTGCAGTTCAGTGTTCAAAGCTCCCACCATTTGTAACAACACGGGATCTAATAAAACCTTTAAAAGGAAACTTTGTGTATCTTTTTTATTTTTGTTTTTATTTTTAGTTATATTTACATTTTATTTTTCAATAACAATTTTTTAAAGGTGGAAGTGTTAAGTGTGAACTTTACTCCAGAGGACCCTGGAGAATTGATTGGAGGCAACAGATTCAAATCAGTTGATCAGTATTTACTACCCAAGGTATGATCCAGTTGAAGGTCATAAAAGGTTTACTGTAGTGATCATATTATACAGTTCATAAATATGCCCTTTCTGAATGAGGATGAATGCAGCAAAAGATAATAACCAAAGAATTAACCGTGTGCAAGAATGATGATTTTGTTACATTAATTCTTGTACTCTCCGTTTGCAATGATGTCATTGCATACCTCGCTTTGAAGCAGAGGCTTGGGGTGACTTGGAAATGATCTATTTGATTATGAGGTGGAGGAAGTTATATGTGTACAAGAAGAGAGTCAGTTTTATGTTTCACCTGTTAAAATTAATATGGTAGGGTTTCTCCCATGACTGATGAGATATACATACCGGTAGATTCTTTAAGTTTGGCTTCATACTTTAGAATTAGTAGATGGATAGTCTAGGCCTTGGTTGCTCAAAAGTTGGAAACCACTATCCACCGAATAAATTGGATCCAGTGGATAACTCCAGTTAATATAATCCCATTGCACTATCCACTGGATGGTAATTTATTTGGTGGATAGCACTATCCACCTTTTTAACAACCGGAGCCTGATGAACCAAATTTTGACAGGACCATAAACGCTGACTATGCCTAAACATGTGAGAAGGTCTGTTCAAAAATAAATGCTTGCAAAAAATGCTGCCAAGTAATGTGAAACAGGTCTTGTTATCACAGGCTGAATTAAACTAATAATTGTTATTTTAGCTGTTTCATATGGTTTTGAAGTGTTGTTTGCATGTTTTTTAGGGTTTTGAAGGCTCCATTGTGGCAGAAAATTTCAGTTCATCTGACCCTGGCATTAACGTACCCCACATGCATGGCAGTGTAGACAGTGGCGGAGGCTTGGTGTCATTTCTGAACGTTAGTGAGAACTTAGTTTAAAAAAAAAAAACATTTTGTTTCTTCTTTCCTCTTACTTTTTATCTTTCTCTCTCTCTCTTTTTATTATTATTATTTTTTTATTGGTGTTTTATTTATAATTATTAATGTGATTTGTAGTATATATTTTTTTTCTTGGTGTTTTATTCATAATTGTTAACTTGATTTATGGTAATCGGTGGGAAGGTACAAAAGCACTGGACTGATCTTTCCTTATGTGGTAAAGGATCTCAGGTTAGGGCCTGTAGTTCCACTCCCACTTTAAGGGCACCTCACTATTATGGACACTTTGCTTTGTCCCTGGGGGAAGAAAGCCCTTACATTTTCTCTGAACTCAACCCGTTTAATACGGGTACCCCATTAATAGGGACATTTTCTATGCACCCCTCATTGTCCTTATGAATGGGGTTTGACTGTATATTTATTTTGATGGTCTCAAGTTGGACCTACAGTACCAATCACTAATTAAAGATCCGGGACTTGGCAATCTCGCCCAATTTCTCAATGTAGGTTCCCTGTACCGTTCTGTTGGAACGCTTACCGGTCATTTCGCCCTGGTTACTTAGCCCCCTTTTCTAGAACGAATAATATTATATTTGAAGCGTGCTTGTTTTGGTTTATGGCTTGCTCCACTGCGGGACCACAGGAGCAGCATATTCAACTTGTTTATTTGTTTATTTGTTTATTGTTTTGTTTGCCAAAAATTATACAAATCAAATAAAATCTAATTACCTTAACTCTCATGGCGAGGAAGCCCAAGAGAAGCCACCGGGCTTATAAGGAATGGGCTCCCTCAGTTAGATAATTAGAACAAAATATTATCATAATTACACACGGGAAAATCAATGGCAGAGCTACAGTAAATCTTAAAATAAGTATATTAGGCTCTGACAGGTTCTGTTTAACAGCTAAAAATCAGACGATCGGTGATGATACAAACTGGCAAAAAACGGTTACCATGTCCCTAGTTCCCAGTGCTCTTCGGTTCGCTTCACAGAGTAATCGCGCCTCGCACTGCCACATGTTCCCCCATCGCATGATAACAGTAATTAATGATGTCATTGCTTAAAAAGAAAGCCATTGGGCTCACCTGCTAAATTAACACACGACTGATATTCGACCGATAGTTGACCGATATACCACCGACAGTTGACCTATATGTCAGCGACATATAACCGATAGTCGGTCGAGGTGCGTCATCGAAATATCGACCGATACTCGGCCGATAGTCTATCCCACGTTCAACTGACTATCGACCGACTGTCGACTGACTATCGACCGACTATCGACCGACTATGGACCGACTATCGACCGACTGTCGACCGACTATCGACCGCTATATCGACCGATAGATCGGTCGACACTACCTACAGTAAACAAGATCCAAAAAATGTACAAACAGCGTGAAGCACGAACAAAGTTGTTGTTTTGCTAATCTAAACCTGTTGCTGTTTTTTTATTTTTATTTTGCCATTCTCGTAGCCGTCACAGTCGTCGTTGTTTAAGCTCCCCAATGTTCGATCGACGGTTGCCTCTTGACTTGTACCTCACCGCACTGCTGAAAATTCTAAAAAAAATAATGTCGTTCTCATAGTCGTCCTCATCTTAGAATCTAAAGGTCTCCGCCAATTATCTACCTCCTAAACGTCTTGCCAGTTTTCAATCGCCAGTTAATTGAAACGTCAGACTATGTCGTACAAAATAGTTTAAGTTAAAACAAAACATTCTCTTTCTGTTAAATACGCTTGTTAACGTACGGTTTTGTCATGTTTCTAGGTGAGTAGATTTGGTTTTGAACAAAGCGTCTTCCCAGAAAATGAAGAGAGATTTTATGAAGATACAAACCAGTACGTAGCTGGAACATTTATGTATCGGGCTTACGGTAAGATAGTGATCTATGATATATGGCTGTTGTCTCTGCGAGCTAAGAAGTATAAGTAGGTTCTGTGTTCTGATTGGTTACCAGAGTGCCACGTGACCTTACGCTTGGAAAGCAAGGCATACAACTGTAGTTAACAGGCCTGAGCCAGACTAAAAATAAGGAACCCTTGTTGATAAAATTTGGCTTTTATTGAAATATTTATTATATTCTTGACAATCAAAACAACCGTTAAAATACCCGTGTAAATTGGTATAAATTTTGTTTCGAATATCGTTATGCATTATCAAAACTGTACCGTTTATGCTCTTCACAAAGGTTGACCTTCGTTAGGCCGAAAGTCTCTCCACTTTTTTAAAAAATCTTTGCAAATTGAGACAGAGTGCTTCAAAACTCATTACAATTTAACCCGCGATTTTCTGCATTTAAGCTGCAGAAGACGAGTTTTCTAACGTGAAGTTAGAGGAAAGAAGAAAGCAAAGACAAGTCAGGAAGGAGATGTGGCAGGCAGTGTTGCAACGGGAACAAAATGAACTCCAGCGTGAAATGTCACAGTTTGATGATATTCTTTTGGTTGATGTTGTAGATGTCTATCGCAGTCTCCCACGGAAACTTCTCGAGTTTTATTCTTGGTACGAGCCGAGGTTTGCCGTCGCTTAGATATAATAGCTTCTTTATCGAAAAATGTCCTCTTAGGCCCCATGTACCTGGTTAGTGATTTTGAAGTAACCTAGCCGGCTTAGGTGATTTTTCCCTTCTCCATTTTTATATTAGGACTGTGAGAAGCATGTTGTTTAATTTTACTCTAAAAACAGACGACGACTGCTTTGTGAATGTAGATGAAATCTTAAAGGTGAGTTTCACTGCCATTTTGTTTTGTTTGTTTGTTTGTTTTGGAGGGGACAGGTTCCCAAGTCAATTTTTCCCCGACCAGTAGGCGTGGTTGCTTAGACAACTGGAACAGCAGGGGTATGAAAATAGTAGGTGACGGCAATGTGGAACCTGTTACGGCCTCGTTGCCAGGGCCTTTCGCGCGAAAATTCCGAGCGGCGTTTCTGAGAAGAAAGACCTGGGAACGAGGTTGGAGCTTAGTAATTTCTTTAGAAATATGAAACAGTTCCTATTTGTGATTAAAGGTGCTTCAAGAACAACTGCCGTGTTTTCTCTTGACTGAGACACTGATGACTCCAATAGTGGAGATTCTAAGGCTGTGGGCTCCCTTTGTTTTCTTAGAGGTTGTCAATCAAACTCAGAAAAGTACAAACGTAGGGTAAACTCTGCTATTTTTAAAATGGAAAATTTGTCTTTGGTAAATATTTTCTGAATAAGAGTAGATAGAATAAACAGTTTTGAATAGACGATCAAGTAATTACGCGACGCTAGGAACAGTGTATTTCCACCTCCATTTTGTCATTTTGTTTTTTTTTATCCAACAATCTCACTCTAAACTGAGCATGCAATGCGCACTTCAGTAATCACACCCGTTCTTTCCTGTATGCTACTTCATATGTAGAAATTTCAAGGTTGCTACATTCCCGATTTTTTTGTTTTTATGCCTTAATTGCATTGACAAAACGCACTTTAATTATGTGGTAGGATCTCTTTACGGTTTCAGAGCTTCTGTTACCCTTCTGTTAGTTAACAGGATAGTGGATTATTATGTACACCGATGGAGGTGTCGATGTGATGCGAAAACTAACTTTTTAATTTCATTACTCCTAGGCACTAGACAAAAGAAAACTTCGAGGGAAAGGACGTATTTGGTGGAGCAGGTAAAATTTCCTAAAGAAACCTCAGGCAAAACTTAGTAAGTGTATATGATTTTGTTGTACTGTTCATGCCGTCAGGTTTCGCAGCAACTGGGCAGTGGAGCGCTTGGGAAAATGGCGGGAAATGGACTACACTGCTCCTGTATATCCATCATTTGCTTGTGGTGCGGGAAACATACTCTCCGCTGACCTTGTGGAATGGCTGGCATTGAATAAGGATCATCTTAAGATGTACCAGGTACGCAAACTCTTAATCTTTACCCGATCACAGAAGGTCATACATTTTCTTGTCTGTAATACCTACGGTGGAATGTTCCTTTGTGATCACTTATCCAGTCTGGGTCCACGAGACTGTGGAGTCCTTTGCTTTGCTAACATTCTGTAGTGGTGATTTTCAAAGCGCAGATACGTTTGCGAGATTGAGTGCCTGCGACATGCACAAATTTTAAATAGTTAAGTTGCCCTATCAGGAGGCGTAAAGGGTATCAGTTTTCTCAGTAACTCTCTTGTGACTGTCTTAGTAACAAGTACTTGGCCTTGTAGGGTGAAGATGTATCGATGGGAATCTGGCTTTCAGCGTTAGGACCAAACATTGTCAATGTAAGTTTGTAGTGCAGCAGTCTCTTTGATCCACCTTAATTTGGGAGATATGCTTATCCGATTAGAAAAGGCTATTGTTTGATTCATTTATACATCCTTAATTCCCCCCCCTCCCCCCCTTCCCTCCCTTCCCCTCTTTTCCTCGCTCCATCCATCTGTCCATCCATTCACTCATTTTTTCATTCGTCGACTCATCATTTTTTTTAGGATTACCGTTGGTCATGTGGGCGCGATTTGGTGGCTCCTAGGAGGCCGTTTTATATTCAGTGACTGGGTCAACTGTTGACGTGGGGTTTTCTTGGTAACCCTTTCACACAGTTTGCTATAATCAACGTCGTAGTAAAACCATTGATGTATTTAATGTCAACGTTGTCGTTGGCAAATTGTGTGTGACACAGGTGTCTTCACTTCCCCAGAAAACGATCCCGAGGAGCTTAGAGAGATGTGGTCAGATCTACAGCTTTGTGGGGATCCTTGTGGCTGCTCGGAATAACATACGATGCTCAACAGGATTCCTATGACCTCTCTCCGTGCAGGATCGTTAAATGACATTAAAGAATCGTATTCAGTAGCTCTTCCTGTCATTGCTAAGCGCGACAAGTTGTACTGTCTGCTACCCTGACAGCAAGTCAATCTTGATGCTGGCAGCTATTGTAAACGTCTGTGTCCTCACCTGTGGCGTTTACAGCAAACAACAAAGTCGTCCATAGGAATGGAATGGCCTCGATCCACAGTATTTTGGGAGAGAAGGGAGAATTGCTACAGAAAAGGCGGACGTTGCGCTCCTTGTGTAAAAAGCCCAAGGACAATTTGGAACAAGTTACGTATGAAAAGTTTCGGTTTAGCTTTCTTCGACGATGACTTTTGAACTTCCTTATGCTGTTGTAGACCTTGATTTAAAAATCTGAAAGAAGTCCCGAAAGGTTGCGCTCTCCTCTCTGCATTTTTGAGAACTTGTTGCTCAACAGCTACATTAAGTTAGAGACATTATCTGCATGAATGCTTTTTTTAACATCGAGAAACAACTAACCTGTGCTTCCGAGTTCGTTCCTCACCAAATGAAACGCGATAAATTATCCGTAAAAATTGGAACGTTTTTCCTGGCTTTTCTTTGCCGTTGGCAACTGGTTGCAATAAGAGAACTTGACCCCACCCTCTTAAAATGCCCTAAAAAAAGGATTCATACCACCGATGCATTCACTGAAAACGCCCCCTGATCACTACCTGCCGGGCGACGACCGGTGAATTCTTTGTTGAGACTAACAGCAACAGAGATATATGGAAATAAAGTCCCTCTACGATATCAGCCGCAGGAATTTTTCTTTTCTTTTCTCTTTTGTTCGGTTGTTGCTGTTGTTTTTATTTTGTGTGTGTGTGTCAGGGGCACCCAACGAGAATATAGTTCAAAACCACTTAAACATAGCATTGTTAAACGTGTTTTAGTATTTAAACAGTGGATATGGGCATATTTTTATCCCCTATAAATTTTTCATCTGTTCGGAGTCTAGTCTTCGAAAATTTCAGCCAGAAAAAAGGCTACCGAAAATTTTAGGTGACCTTTTTAGGGTAAAAATCCGTTGAAAATGGGCAATTTTACCATTTTTTAGATGTTCGAAAATCCTAGGAGAGGCAGGCAAGCAAGAAATTTTACAACAAATGTTCCGAAAATTCTAGATCTCAAATCGTCTTCCGAACAGATATTTTTCCGAAAATTGTCGTTGGGTGCCCCTGGTGTGTGTGTGTGTGTGTGTGTGCCTGCAGATAGAATCATTAATTTGTACGGAGATCATCCGAGCCATTCAACACACAGTATCCGAGCATACATCCCGGGTTTGCCCTTTCGCCCTCGCCTAAAACTAAAAACAAAAGTGATGAGATTAGAGACAACAGTGTGACGTCTGGTACACTAGTAATGTTGAATTTATGCCAGTTGTTTTCGTAACGTGTATGTCGATGACGAAAATTGACTATTGCTTGTTACGCTCTTTTAAAGAATGATATACTAACAGCTAGTAACAGTAACGTAGATTTCGGAAAGTTTTGATCCGGTCTGGAAAGTTTTTGCCGTAAACAGAATGAGTGTTTCATGGAGATTATTTTGATGGAGGTAGTGAACTTGGTTTTTTGTTAAAAACTATCTTTAGTGTGAAAGGACAAATTAGTTTCCTCTTCAGTGCCCACAAGAACAATTAGTCATTCTTCAGCAAAATTAAGCCTCGTTGGTTAGGCTTTTGTACATTAGGCTTTTGCTTCCCTACTAAAACGCTCCACCTTAATGCTCCATTTTTCCCACTAAAATGCTCGGTCTCCCCCAAAAAAGTAACTAAAATGCTCGGATAATGCTCATTACACTTACAAAAACGTGCAAGTGTTGCAAGTAACAACGACAACGTGTACAAGTTCATAAATACAGCCAAAAAACCAGCTGTATTAGGTTTTTTGTGAATTTTGAATTTTAGTCTTCATTTTGTTGAGAAAAGCAGGAGCTCATGGGGCATGGGCTCCTGAAAAAAGTTAATTTCTATTTTATTTTCTCGGAAAAATTAATTTTCCGGGGAAAATGCCACTAAAATGCTCGAATAATGCTCAATGCTTTTGGCCCACTAAAATGCTCGAAAAAAAGCTAGCATAATGTACAAAAGCCTACCGTTGGTGTCTTTCCCTGTCTTCCCTTTTATTAATATGCATAACTGAGAAACGGCTTCCTATATCTTATTTAGCGCTAAAACTCAGATATATAAACAAAACAAATACACATATACACAAAGTGGAGGTAAAAAGTCTCTATTTCAATTTTGTCTGACTTACAGAACCGCGTTTTCTCCTATCTATCTCGAGGAAATGAAAAACTATTGAAGTCTCAGACCACACTTTCTATGGGTTTACTGGCGTGATAACCTACTTTGGATGTTGGGAGAACACTCGAAAAGCTTGTAAATCACTCGCCTTCGGCTCGTGATTTACAAGCTTTTCTCGTGTTCTCCCAACATTCCGCGTGGGTTATCACGCTGGTAAACCCATAGAAAGTGTGGTCTATATCTTAAATAAACTATGATCTTTCAATGATAGTATCTTCCCTTATCTTTCGCTGCCTAGGTTTTCTATCAGAGCATGTATGGGATCATGCCCTTGCAGCAGTACGGTGGTTCCTACCCTTACACATCGTCAAACAAGCAAGCACATACGGCTGTGAATGACTACTGCATCGCTGTTGGAGTGATGCTGGCAGGTGCCAAAGCAAACGGATGGAGTCAGAACGCCAACGGATACGACTGTCCAAAGAATAACAGTGACTGGTCTAACGCACAATATAGTCACCAGTCTCCCGATGTCCTTTTGTGGCTCAGATGAAGACTGCAGCATGGGCGGAGCCGTTGATGCACTTTCCAGTTTAGACGTCGCCTGTACACAGACGTTGTTTTATTTTTCTTTTCGTTCTTTTCAAAAACATCGGCGAACTCGCGAGCGCGTCAATAAATACCCATGCTCGGGGGACTTTGAAGAGAAAATAGAGGGTCTGTGAGTAGGCTAGTTTAGACGAGTGCCAATGAATTGTTCTTGCTTGTGTTCGTTTTGGATGCTGTGTTGTGAAAGTTGGCAGCCGATAATTCATTAGTGCCTCAGTTTTACGTTTGGCTGTTCAAGTGTTTCTTTTTAGAACCCATGCCATTAAACACACGTGTACGAATTAAACGATTTCGGCACAATTTATAGCAGCCAAGTAACCACAAATTTGACGATGAAAGAAACTTATTGCAAGTTCGCAGCGATTTTCACATATAAATGCAAATTTCCCAATTTTATTCTCATAAAGTAGCAAACAATTAATTAAGTCCTTCAAGCAAATATAATTTTCGCTTCATTTTTTAAGTGTGTAGCAAATATCACAGCCGATATAACAATGTTATGTTAGAAAGGAACTCAGTTTTATGAGAGTTAACATTTCAGCATTTCGAATATGATTTCAAAACATTGAAGTTTAAGAACGCAGAAAACTCTGTACAGATAAATGTTCATTCAGCCGTGTTACAATTTGTTTTACCAAGATTCATTCGCAGTAAGAAGTTCGGATCTTATTTAATCTTAGATGGCATAACGAAAGCTGCTTAAATATTACTTGAAGTTTCCGTCCCTAACGAACTTAGTGTAAACACAGACTAGAATCAGGATATTAGCAATATTCAGCACAATAATCTAGAGCAACTGAAGTGTTCTCAGCTGCTTTTTTAATTATCATCCTTTGTACGAGCACATTTTTAACTAGGAGGACATTTGTTGTTTATTCTGCAGTAAATGTTATTTTACATGAAAGACTTACCGAACATAACATTTGAACGTCACACAAATGAACGTTTAAAAGGTTAGTTTTGTAATATAAATTAAGTTTCGAATTAAGCGGCGTATCACTGGTATGAAGTAAAACTTGATGTAAATTGTAATGTATCATTATTTATTACGGTTAATTAGATTGCCAGCATTATAGCGCGTGCCAACCTCACAAAAGTTGCAGCTAAAATATATTTAAGTTTTAGCTTTGATTGATTGGTAATTGGGAAAACCTTTTACTACGACCAACTTATAGAATTTATATTTGCACGTTCACAAAGTTGAGTTATGTATTGTGTTTTTAGAAATTCTGATAACATATAGGACTGAAATCTGCATAATGTGATTGGCGTTTGCTGCATGAATGTCTTCAAAATTTATATGAACTAACTAAACATTAATGACGCCTTTGATAATGTCTTTAAATTAGATTTAACTGACAACAAATTGTGGAAAATTCAATTATTAATTTAGTCCATGGTGCAAGGCAGCAAACCGGAAGTGTCGAAAATTGCTTCAAAGGGGGTATGTTTGAGCCCTCGCAGCTCGTAAACGAATAACCTAAAAGGGATAATAGGGAGAGGGCATGATCTCAGGCTAGTAAACGAATACCGGCACCCCCCTTTTTTATTTTGATTTCGAAGTCCTAGTATGATGAATATTTGAAAGACAAAATTTGAGAAAAAATCAATTTAACGTGGTTGAAGGCCAGAAAGTACGTTAGGTATTCATTTCTCAAATTTAACCGCAGGATTAGTTAAAATTTCTCGTTGGGTTTGTTTTGACGGTGAAACTGACGTAGTTATTATTGTCAAATGACCAAAGGCATTCGCTTCAGGCCTGCATTTTCCTGTTTTTGATTCAAAAGGTTGATGATTCTAAGACCTTGGCGTTTTCACTTCTGAACAATCGGTTGAAAATGTTTCGCTTGTTCGTCTTGATATTGGCCTTGGCTTGCCCTTCTTTGTACACTTCCCTGTCGCTGGAGAACCGCCATGTAAGGTTTTACAGTTTTATAATTTTCTTTCAAGATATTCACTTTTCTGTAACATTGATTCCATTAAGTAAACTTCAGGCTGACAATTTTCGCAAGCCTTGCCAGAGACATAGCGCTTTTGAGCACATTTGATCATGCTTTATGGAATATTACATTTTACATAAGTTTTAATTAATTGTGGTTAATTGACTAAAAAGTTCCCATCAATGGGTCCATTTTAGGCTTGCGTTCCTATGTGGCGAGTTTCCCATGACGAATCCTAAGTAAACTTAACTATGAAACTTCTGTTTATCCAAGCAAATTTTCAGACTGGTCAAGTTCTGTATTAATCCAATTGATCTTGCGTATAATTTTCCATTTGTTTATTTACCTGTTTTGAGGGCTCAAAAAATGTGCGCGAAAAAGGTAATTTCACCGCTTCATTTTGGTGGAGGAAGCAATAACTTGACTTGCGCGAATTGCGATTCGACATAAAGGTTGATTAGACACGCGGTTATGTTGTATGTTGACAATCTTTGATTTCGCTGTCTAAAGTTACAGAGTTTTAGCGCCAAGAGCGTAAAAAGTTCAAATAATTGCTCCAAGTAAGAATACTTTTGGGATTAGTGCGCATGTTTCCTACTTGAGATACCTTAAAAGTCACTTCGCCTCACATCATTTAAGTTGATTCCGGAAGGGGCTTTGGGGACGCAAAAAAAGCAGTTATTCGCACTGTAAAATGCGCTTGGATTTTAAACAGTTTTGATGCCATGCATATTGAATGACATCAATTTATCCCTGCACTTCTATTTCTTTATTTTGAAATTATGCTTATTTTTCTTAATTTTCGATCGTTCTAACGCCTTGCATAAAAATTCACTGAGATTTTAAAATTTTGTGACTTTTATAATTTTTGCTTGATTTTGCGTTTTGGAAAAAGCCGCAAAACTGATTGGTCCGGGCTAAATGACGTTCGTGTAAAATCAAACTGTCAAAACAAAATAGATGAACAGATTAGGTTATGTTGTATTAATTAAAATTCTCAGCACCAAGATTTGTTCAGTTACTTTAGTGCAAGAATAATCATGTACACTTTGATAAATTATGGCTGTAGTTCGCCGTTCAGAAAGGCTGAAAATTAATAAACCAAGTCTATGCGTCAGCATAAGGAAAATCTCCAGACCTTTTCTTCAAGTACTACTAAATCCCTCTTGTTGTGGATGAAATGCCTCTGTTTTTATTGCCGACAAAAATAATGAAATTAAAGGAAAAAGAAAACTAGACACTGCGTCTGAATTTTGTAAAGCACACTCTCTGGACGACGAGCAACTGTCGAAAATCACGACCTTTTCTTCCTCAACGGGCGTGATGTTTTGGATCATAAAGCTCATTCGATTCCTTTCCGAAAGGAGGCGTTTCTGTTTTCCTTGCGACAATGTTTTGGTCTTAACTGTAATACACACTATTCGTTAAGACAAAGACGGCGTCAGTTCACACTTTAATATTAGCTTCATATTGTGTATTCTTTAATTTTTAGATTCCGGCAGTGTTACTTGCAAATAATAAAGATGAGGTGGAAGTTGAGACGATTGACGACTCGCTTCATAATAAAAGATTTCAAAGAAGCTTGTTGTCTTCCGATCAGAGCAAAGACGACCTCTCTGTCAAGACCATCAAAAAAATGCAAGATCTTCTGAACCAGTTTACTAGAGGGCATGTTCTTGATACAATGTGTAAGGACAAATACATGGTACGAGGTTTCCACTACAAACAAAGTATTCTGATAGAGACCCGCTCGGCATTGCCAGTTCACTATACATTAACCGCAGAAGGTGAGGGGAATTAAACTCGGCTTTTTTTTTTCTGTTGTTCCTGCCTTCGGCAATTTCTCAAATCTCATGAGGAATAATTCAGTAACACTAAGTACTAAACAAACAATAAGGCTGCATTAAAAGTAAAAGCCAAACAATGAAACTTAAAGAGAGCAGCAAAAAAAAAAAAAAAAAAAAAATGGAATCTCATACCTTGCAGTTCCCTTTGAACAGTAATATTTTAGGAAAAAATTATGCTAGTCATGCATTATAAGGGTTAAATTGAGCTATGTCAATTGCCAGTGTTTGGTATTACATTATTACAGTAGAACCTCGATAGCTCGAACTCCCTGCTAACTCGTACAAAGTTCGATTTCCCTTGGATTTACCCCCACAGTTTTACTCGGTTAACTCGTGCATACCTCGAATTCCCCGCTTACCCGAACTAAATTCCCTCTCCCTTGATCAAAATTTCACCGAAATTTACCCCGCTAACTCGAATTCTGGTTCTTGTAACTCCACTCGGATGCCACTTCTTGTTGCATAATCAGTAAAATGCTGACTACAACTCACAGTGCAGCAGTTTGATTTTAATTGGTGCAACGAACAGATCACGTTTTATCCTAAAATGCATAAGCATGTTACTTACCGTTTCTGATGAAACAAGTTAAATTTGCACTGTACTATTATATACACTGAAGTGCTGAAAAATCAGTAACCATCAATTATTGACATGGGCAATTCAATCGATCCCAATAACTCGAATCCCCGCTAACTTGAACTGTATTACAAAACTCTAAAAACACATTAGAATCAAGGGAAGCCCCGAATAATGGCTCTGTTTTATTTACAATTTCCCGCCCCTAATATAACTATTGTAGTCATCAACTTGAAGTTTGAACGTGTCTTTGGCCAGGATGGAACCAGGTTGCGACTTGATACTTTTTTAGAACTTTTTTTGCTGTCAAAAAATGACAAAAAACCGATGATAGAATTATCCTTTTGGAGTTCCAAGTATGAGATGACAAAGAATACTTACCGTATTTCCTAGAATAATACCCGTCCCTCGATTAATCGCCTCTCTCGAACTATCGCCCCTCTATGGTAGACGGGCGTTCTTTTATCCTCTCCCTGTCAAGTTGAAGTGGAATCTGATCCAGCAAAACTGATCAGTGATGATTCAAACTCTGAAAATCAATCGAGGAACCAAATTTGAAACATTTAAAAAGCCAATGTTCAGTTTATTTGATGTGATCATAAAACAAAATATTTAGGGAAGGACTTCAGTGACCAATATTTGAAATAAAGCCTCCCTCAAATAATCGCCCCCTTTTCATGCGAAAACAGAAATACTCGCCCCCGGCTATTATTCGAGGAAACACGGTAGTTTAAGTTCAGCTCAGCTTTAACCAAAAAGGACAGGAATTCGCCGTGACAGCCACTTTAAGATAGAGTTGTACCCTAGTAGAGTTAAATAAGCTCAAACATTCTCAGGGACGGCCAACAACTAGCCTGATATTCATATGAGCTCTGCAGCTTCTTACGAAATAAATCTTTCAGCTAGAACGACTCTAACAGTTACTTTAAGCCCATTGACATCTTCTCATAGGACTTCCGTCTCCCTTATAACCGGGGCAACAAAGTCCTCATATCGATTAACATATTGTTATTTTCAGTAAACCACAAGGCATTGGTTGATGAACAGAAAGCGTCGTTATCTGGGGAAGATCTTCGAGTATTCTATCGCGCTAATGAAAGTAGCTTGCCGGTTGAGATTGATCGCATAATCAGCAACGTGTATACAGCTAACACAAGTGTTCAGTTCAGGACCCAAGAGGCGATAACCGCAAATACTATTGATGCCAACTCGTACGCTCTAGTTTTTGGTGGCAAGCCACCTCATGGGGTCAAAGCTGACAAAAAGAACGTCTTCGCCTTCTTTGAAGATTTCTCCACCTCAGACCTTGGGAAGTGGACCCGAGTATGGGGAGAGTGGACTGTAAAGAATGGGCATTTGTTTGGAAAGACTGGAAAATCTGCTTTTGGTTACGCTGAGGTAGGACTTTATCTCACAAAAGGTAAAGCATGGAAGGACATTGAAGTAGACCTGGATTTTATGGAGACGGGCTCACACGTAGTCTATCCTGGGCCTTTTTTCCGAGTTCAGGACTTCAGGCTACAGCACACAACAGCCTGGTGGTTTGAGTATTACACAGATCATAAAGACTGTACCATGAGACCCTTCGTTAACAACAAAGACGGTAGTTGGATTTACAAATGTCAGCTCCCTGAACCACTTGTTAAAAATAAATGGTTTCACTTTAAGTATCGTTTGATGGGGAACAAAATAACTCAGTGGGCCAATGGTGTTTCCATACAAAACACTGCAGTAAGCAGCACGTGGATGATCCCCAGCGGCACCATAGCTTTGGGCTGTCATAGCATCTACAGTGGGAGTCTCACCGGCTGCAGGTCATATTACGACAATATAAAGGTCCGCATCCTTGTAAAAACCAAACCCAGAGTGATCACAGGAAACATTTGTCGCCTTCCTCTTCACAAATATCCGACCCTTGGAGAAAAAATGAGGCCTGCTGACTCTTGCAAGCAGATCTACGATGCGAATCTCACTGGGAAATCCAAATCATCGGCTGTTAATGGGGTCTACTGGATCAAGACAGCAAAAGCAGGTACGAAAAGCAGCCCAACGTTCTGTGACATGGACAAAGGTGGATGGACTCTTGTTGGAAAAATCAGCGGCCAGGTGGGAAACATCTTCAATTCGTGGCTTGTACGAAACGTCAACAGTAACCTTTTGAAGTCGCCCGGAATGAACTCGGGCAGCATTGAATATGCCTGCCTGGATGCTCGACATCTTGCTGTATGTCATTCGTCTGAGGTTATGTTCTCGAGCAGCGAAAATCATTCCGGAGTTGGAAACAGGTGGATTCGATGGAAGATGCCATTGGACAGAAATTATGGTACTTGGTGGAATCATGGCGTCGGTCAGGCAAAAGTGGCAGCAGCTACTGCAAACCAAGTAACTGTTACGGCATCGAATGGGAAAAGCCAGGTACGAGATGAGCAATGCAAGAAAAAGGAACGAATTTCATGTTTGCCTAGTTACCCGAATAAGTAGTCGAACCAGTGGAGAGTGAGATAATTGCATGCCCAACGTAGCAATTCCTTATGCATCGCTCTCACAGATTTACCATGTTGAACAAGCTGGCCACAGTTTAGCCACTTTTCATGAAATAGTTCTCAGAAAATAGCAGACAATGAACTTAAGTGTTGCCGAGGACCTTCTAGTCTCTTTCTTTTGCCTTACAATATAACATGTAGTGCGCTCGATAGCCATTTTTTAAAGCAGTTTTTCGCAAATCCGCTGGGTTTGTTGCCGTTGTTTTTATATCTTTCGATAACATCTGTCTTTCTTTCCATTAGGTTTGTTACCAGAACATGTACGGGATAATGCCATTGCAGCAACACGGTGGTTCGTACCCTTACGCCTCGATTAACAAGCAAGGAAATACTGCTGTGAAAGACTACTGCATGGCGGTTGGAGTGATGTTAGCAGGTTCCAAAGCAAACGGATGGAGTCAGAACGCTAATGGATATGACAGTCCTAAGAGCGATTCTGATTGGCCAAACACACGATATGATCACTTCACTCCCCATTTGCTGGTTTGGCTCAAGTAAAAGGCATAGAACGAGGGACCGAAGTAATTAAAGCCTTTCTTTAATTGCTAGATTATTATGTTCTCTTTTTTTTCTTAAAAGCGTATCTAAAGTGGCTTGGTAACTAACTAACTGATTGATTGATTGATTTAATGACTGATGGATTTATTGATTGATTGATTGAGTCAGAATTGGCTGTTTGATTTATATATTGACTGATTGTTTTGAGATCTCGTACTGTACTCGTAACAATAAACTGAAACTTGATAATATTTGGTTTGTTGAAGTGCTAGAGCTGGTAACATACTTGCAAGATAAGCTTAGGGAGTACATTTAGAAATAAAGGAGTAGCCCATAAGCTACGTTAAATTTAATTGCCTCTGTTACTACTCAATTGCTTAAATTATGTACGTACTTCACTCCCCGACAATGCTTCTACCCCGTAAGAAATTTTTTGGTTTTTAGTCCATCTGTTGCTCTTGAACTGTACAAAGGTTCGTGCTTTAATGAAACGCAAATTGTCGCTCTGGGCCTCAACTATGGGCACTTAAAGGGAGACAGTCAGCTATGGGACCCAGCTGACCTGGACACTACTTTTGTCAGTTTGAAAAGAGTTTACCTCAACCCGAAATCAAATGAACGCGTCGGCTGCATCTAGAAATCCGCTTCAGTCTTAGTGTTTCATTCGATCCTCGATATTTTACAGAAAACCTCTTTTTGAGAAAACTTTAACTCGTCTTTTGACATTATTTCATACTTGGTTAAAAACAGTATCCAAAGGAACATGAACAGAAGAGGTGACAAACGCACAGGCGCCTGGCGGGAGAAATTGCTTTCGTTTACCAAAATAACAAAACAAATGTATCAATAACAGTGGCGAGCAAGTTATATTATATGTATTTGGAAAATCCATGGAAAAAGTTACACATGTTTGGAAAATCAAGCTTTCTCGACTTTGAACCTTCGACAATGATTCATGCCGACTCCGTGTCATTTCTCATCTCTACTGATGATCGAATTCAGAAGTGTTCGTCGATGTTTGGCTTTTCCTGGACAAATCCATCCGTCAATTCTCAATGGTATATAAAAAATGTGTGCTTTGATGTGGCTTAGGGTCTATAATCACGATTTGGGCTTGTAACTAGTTCAACTCTACAAGGTTTGATTTAAGTATTCCAGATACGCTTCTCACTTTCTGTTTCATGCGCGTGTCTTGTGACATGCAAATCAGCTAAGAAATGGTATCTAATGTGCATGAGCATCAGCTGACTGTGTCCCTTTAAGTATTTGCAAATTATGGGAAAGATTTGCAGCTTTTCTCTCTGATTGTGAGAATCAGTCCCTTTGAGAACAGGGGGAAAGGCTTCTGAAAAGGAAATTAGAAAATATTAAGAAATTTGGTGACGTTGGGTATTTTCTTTTGTCAACAAGCAGTTACTGATAGAGCTGGGGTCCTTCATCAAGAGGACGGAAGCTGAGGCAACAGGGGATGTGAAACTTTACAGAAACTCCTGTCTATCTAAAGCAATAATATATCGTAGGACAATGAAGAATTCTATGTTGGTCCGCTGGGATGGTAGATTCTGCTGTGTAGGCTGTCAGAATAGAGAAACGCAGCAGACTGGTTCAGTTCCTGAGGACAAAGGATATCGCGGCCCATTTCAATAAACTCTGGAATAAGCTCTGAGTTGCAATCCCCCCTCAACTCTCCTCTCTTGTTTGGTCCCTCCTGTGAGATTTCACGTCCGCCCTTACAAAGATCCTGTAGTGTGGGCGCTAACTGAAGCGAATGCCGTCTCATATTATGAACATGTCCCTCTCCTTTACGTGACAGGGTGAAAGCACTCTTTCTACGGATAAATGTTCCTCCGCCACTTAGCTTTTTCATATGATGCTTATCTTCTTTCATTAAGGTGGACTGGAGCGTAGCCAGTTTGACTCTTAATCGTCTTATCTCTTCCTACATACAAAAGAAATGTTACTTCTGTAATTTTTACAGTGGCATTATTTCCTTAAACAGCAGATTACACTATACTTTACATACTTCTAGATACACATTCCGTGTTTCCCACTCCGCTCTGTTACTAAGGTGGCTCGAAGGTTTTTCGTACTTTGAAGACTTGTTTTTGGTGATTTAGGAATTTTGAACTGCTTGTAATGCGATTAACTTTAACCCACGCTTTTGACTATTTATACGACCCCGCCCTCAGACAGCATGTAAAGGAATTGACCTTTAAGGTATTAACAGTCATAACCAAGGCAATAATACAGCTCTGTGAAGTTTTATCTATGGCAAAATTTCCTTTGAAAAGAATCACCCAATTACTCGCTTAGCTGGCATGATTTTGTCTAAAAATTCATTTCCTCAGAGAGTAACATTTTTTAAAAACAAAATTTTCAAATCAAAAACGTTTGCACCCATCTTATTTCTCCCTCAACTTCCCCTCTCTCTTCTTTCTTTCTCTTACGCTACTGCATTGATGATTCTCATCCATAACGTTCTAGTGGTACCTTAAGTTCTTGATTCTCTATTCTCAGCGACTGTTCTTCCTGATGGGCACTTTGGTCTTCAAGTATCTCCTCCTCAGGAACCAGCATGTTATTATGAGACGACGTACAATCGTTCACTGCTCTCCGCATCCGGCGTACTAGTAAATACTAACAGCAAATAAAAGGTGTGACCGTCAGTGTATGCGATCAATTCTCTCTTGATCCGATATTTCTAAAAAGTGGCTTTGTACTCCGGCATTAGAGAACTGTTGTCCCTGGTACTTGAAAGTATTCTTGGCCCTTTGTTTGACACAGGAAAGAGCAATAGCAACAGCAAAACTCTCCAGAAGGCCAAAATTTATTGCCTCTTTTGATAAGGAAAACTTCCTAGGGATAAATGGAGATCGTTGCCGCTGTTGTTTTAGACTCTGACTGGAAAATTACACATCTTACACTGAAATATGTATTCAGGTGTGTGCTGCTCGTGAATTTTTTTCTTCAATAAAAATTGAGACATGAGTAGTATGATAAGAAATTGTTAGGAAAAAAACATCAAAATAAAACAATAAAGCATTTTGAGTCATACTAAGTCTGCTGCTTGCAATACTCTGCCAAAGAGGAGTATAAATGATTCTAATAACCTGTCCAAGCAGATACCAGAAAACCGCAAAACGTTGGTGTTAATATATATAACCGTGTTGAAAACATCTCCCAAATTCTTACAACTTGTTCATTTAGCTGAGGAGTACCGAGATCACGTGACCCCAAGCTGCCAAGGGCATTCTCCAGCTAAGTATACTTTTTCCGTAGGGAGCTAGCAACGTAGAAGTTAATGGGAAGGACACAATCTTAGACAAAACAGCACAAAGACATACCACTAAAGTGGATCGAACAAGAGCGATACCTTATGAGCGAACATGAAAACTATCACGGTGGAACAATCCATGTGAATCAGCACAAAGTCCAGCCCGTACAACAAGTCTGGATTTGTGTTTCCTTTCGTGGTTGTCCTAAAATCACGGAACGAAAGAGAGAAATAAGAAAATGAAAAGTCATCACAATATAGTAGATGCCTCGCCTCGTCCCCCAGGTAATGCCCCGTCAGTGTCGGCAATCTGTAGCCTGCGAACGAAGGCGTATTTCCGGTCGTCGCTATACTCTCGGGTGGAGAGAAGCGACGAAAGGAAAGATGTCTGGGTTCGCAGGCTACAGGGTAATCTGTGGTTCCATAAACTTATTTCACTCACCCAATCGTAAGTATCTCTTCGCATCCATGAATGTGTAGTTGATCTAATCCTTAAGATGATAGCGACATGCACAGTAACTCTTTCGCTTGTTCTGTGTCGATGTTTAGCAACCAGTTAATTGCATCACATCGGCCGAGGGTGCTCAGAGCAAAACAATTGGAATACTGACCTTACAACCATGAGAAAACTGGTGAAAAACATGGCGCTATAAACGGCCCAGCTGATCATCTTACTCTCGTTGTAAGCTGGTGGGGCATTTCTAATCTTGTAACTAAGCCACATTCCCCAGATCAGCACCATCATATCTCCTGTAATGATAGGTTAAATTAGACGGCTAGCAGACACTCGGTTGGCAAATGAATCATTAGAGGAGATTGTCTAGTGGTTTTCAATTTGCTAAACCAATTTTTGCGGTTGGCTGGAATGTAAAGTATCCTAATTGATCGTCTTGCAAACAGTATTGTCGACCAAAATGTCATGATCAGCACACAAAAGTTAGTATGGTGTGGGGCAGAGAGAACTTTAAGCAATTTTCGAGAAGGATGTACTGTTTTATGAAGGCACCCAGAAATAACGGGAAATTATGAATACTGCATCACTGTCCCAAGGACTTTTGTCCAGGATTGCATTTTCAGGATTTTCTATCTAACTGCAATAAAGACCTCTCAATAAGTTGCCCAACTGGCAGACGAAATTACCCTTTGTCTATGTTGGTAAGCACTTTGAATGGCAAAAACCCTCGATCCACTAGGAGTTCCCATGTAGGTGTTCCTACGCGCAAACGATTCCTATTTCAGACGTCCACATTTGGAATACACCAGTTTGGTATTTTGACCACATCAAAAGTACCAGATTAATAGTATAGAGGCTGCACAGTGCAAGGCGGTGCGCCTCTGCGAGAACTGCTGGGATAGAGAACCGGAAAGGGGCAGTGACGCGTTTGATCTAGGAACTTAACTGAGAGCCTTTACCGATAAGACGAGGAAGAGCAAGGCTGATGCTGTTCTTCAAGATAATCAGGGGTGTGTTGGCTACCCCGGTGCCCTCAAATACATGTCCAGCCACTACATTACAGCAGAACCCATCAGTACCATCCCCCGAGATACATTGCTGTGAACTGTGGCACTTAGGCGAACGGGAGTTTCTTTCCCAGTACGATAAACTTGTGGAACAGCCTACCTGCTGAAGTGATTACTCAGGCAAACCTGAAAGGCTTCAAGGCTGGCCTGGAATATTTTTTAAATGCATTGATTAATTAATTTAATTTATTGATTCATTTAAAACTTTCTTGTTTATTTTGTTTGTTTTGCATTATTATTATTTTTCTTTCTTATATCCACGTGATGGCTATGCTTTTGTGGATTACCTGTATAAACGTAAACGTAAGCGTCTTTGCAAAATATGTTATTCCCTATTTTATTCCGGTCTTACCAAATATCAGAGTGAGATTGAACCAATTTTCGACACATCTTTCATATTTGAGGTCACCAGATGTCCGTGCTGTTTCAACAACGGGTGGGTGAAATGCGGTCCAGGCAGTCAAGTAACTACAGTAAAGCAGCACGAGAAGGCATAGGCGTCTGAACAAAACCCCGTCAGAAAGTGCAAGCTTCTGAGCCGAACGCACGCGGAAAATTAATGCCACCCTACAAAGAAAGGAGGAAAAGAAAACATCGAGAGCGCTGGAAGTATTTCTGTTATTTTTAACTGCTGAGTTATGCTTGCTATAGAAAGAATTCTGATGACCTGAGAAAAATACTTGACTCAGACCAAGCTAAGCTTTCCTTGTTCGTTTGGGTAAAGGATGCCACCTTCCTACCACTACTTCCTTGTTATTTCTAGAAAACTGAAGTCATATCCGACTCTTCGCAGTGACCAGCGTTATCACCAAATAAATACTGAGGTTTAAGTTAATACGGTCGTAATAAACACAGTTTACTGAACGAGATTTAGATTGAACCTGAAACAATATTTGAGCAAAGATGCCTAACAATAACAAATGTTGAACAGCAATTACCCTTCCCCATCCTGAAGGGTATAGGTTTTTCAGGAGTTTATGAAAAGATTTCGGACGAGAAATGTTTTCCTCGATCAACCCAGTATTTTATCAGGGTCAGTTTAACTGCAACAATCAGATCTACTTTCATATCCCTATCCGCTTTTGACTTAAATTGATTGCAAGCCATGAAGGCAGTCTATAAAAAAATGAACTTTTCAGTACAATCCAAGGTTGAGACAATGTTAAAATGACAACAGGTCCCCTGGTATACGTGGAAACTGTAGTGGCTGCGCTTCACTGTATGGCTATCATTGGACCTTCCTCATAACTGCGGACTATTTATTCACTCTACAATCACTGAAATATGGGACTGGTTTTAAATACCGCAAATGTCTGTATCGCCATAAGAAGTGAGGCAAGGGTACAGATGCTTGAAAATACCTACACCATCATTTTATGTGTAACCAAAAGTAGTTTTCGTATCGTTAAGAAAAATCAAGAATTCTGGAATCTTATGTTAATAAACAGATTTTTGCAATACCTCCATGTTTTGAGAGCCAAGGGTCCATAAACGAGTGAAAAGCCAATGTGCTGCAGCCAAGGTTTTATAACACAGCTGATGTCGGTGGGTTTGAAGTACGAAACGATGAGCTGCGAAAAGAAAGTATCAAGATGCTGGAAAATACCGTTTGATCATAAGAACACCGAACCGTGATGAAAAATGATCAATTCGATTATTCTCTGTAATATTTCCCCTCCTCGTCCTCTTTTTATTGTTGGATCGATGTTGGGTCGATGTAGGGTTGATGTGGGAGGCGATGTACGGCCAATAGAGAGTCAATGTGGGGTAGATAATGTGTAGTTGGAGAAGGAGGAAAACCAGTAGAAATGCGATCGTGGTGGTGGTGGCGATGGCGGTGGAGGGAAAACAATAGAAAGGTAGTGGTGGTGGTGGTGGTAGTGGCGGCTTGGGGGAAGCAACACAGTACAAATGGGTGGTGGTGTAGGGAAAACAACTGAAGTGTGTTGTTGTTGTTGTTGTTGTCGTTGTGGTGGTGGTGGTAGTCGATGCAAAACATTACACATGGGTGGTGGTGGTGGTTTAGGGAAGCAACTGACGTGTGTTCCTGGTGGGGGTGGTGGAGGGAAAATAGAGATGTGGTGGTGGTGGTAGAGGGAAAACAATTGAAGTGTGTTGCTGGTGGCGGTGGTGGTGGTGGTGGTGGGGGGAAAACACTAAAAATGTGGTGGTGGTAGCTGGTGGTGGTAGTGAATGTAAAAGAATACACATGGGTGGTGGTGGTTTAGGGAAACCAATTGAGTGTGTTCCTGGTGGGGGGTGGTGCAGGGAAAACAATAGAAATATGTTGTTGGTGTTGGTGTTGGTAGAGAAGATAGAAATGCAGTGGTGGTGGTCGTGGATGTAAAAAATTGCACATGGGTGGTTGTGCTGCCTTAGGGAGGACAGTTGAAGTCTGTTGTTGGTGGGGGTGCCGGAGAGAATACAACAGAAATTTAGTGGTGATGGTGGTGGAAAAACATTAGAAATGAGGTGGTGATGGTGGTGGAGGGAAAATAAAACAAAATGAGGAGGAGCGAAGTAAGTGAATTGTGGAAGACAGGAAAAGGTAAGTGAAAAGTTTGATTTGGTGCTAGAAAAAGCTAGCTAGTATTCAAAATTACTACTATGCACGATTTGCAAGCCAAGAACCAGTGAATCGGAAATGGAAAAATTTGTTGCACAATGAAAGTGGCAGGAAATAGAACTTCGGTGACTACGAACATGAATTAACCAATGAACACTTTTCTCAGTTTTAGTCAACCATCTAAAAAGCAAGACATTTATCGACCTAGAAATAATTAGAAAACCTGTCCAACGGGGTAGGCCACCCATAAATAGCACACGACCTTATCTTAACGAGATTTTCCGGACTTTATTCATGAAAACAAAAGGCTATGACATTATCGACGATAAAGTATCCCTCAAAAATTTATGAGATTACCCCTCAGAAAAGGTGTCTAATCGGTCCCTACAGTACTAATATATAGCCAGGGCTAAAAGAGAAGATCCTATTAATAAATTTATAATTTAAATCAAACAATAAACTTGTAATCCACAAATCAGTTAACTTAAAGGGTACATTCATGTGAATTTGAGGGAAAGGCTCAGTTATTTTAGAATGAAACAGCTTACATCGAGTTGATAGCCTTACACGTGCACCCAAAAAATAGCAAACGTCTTCCATCATATTCAAGAGCCATATATAATGGCTCTTGTTCACAGTAGATTAGGCCTCGAAAACAATTTCTCGGAAACCAAATCAGGCGAATTTTTTTGCGTTCGACAGGTTTACTTTACAAATTCTTGCCAACAAATCTGGGGGTGTGTAAACCAACCTTTTATACTTTTTATACATCACAGTTGAGGTGAAACAGTACTACTTATATATCATACAGACCTTGGACAGAATGCGGTATTTCACAAGTTTTCAAGCCAAATTGCACTTAGACAATATTCAGGACGATCAATCGTGGGCTTTTAGCGAAACCGTTCAAAAAATTTCCAAAATCACCCATACGGCCAGCCGGTTCTCATTTCTAGCGCGAGCTGTCAGTGTGGTCGAGTGTTTGAATGAACTTTAATATAGTTACGCTTCAACATAATAACGAATTTATTATTATTTTTTTTTATTTAATGGTTTCACTTATAACGATGTGTAATCCTATAAAGCGTTTGATACGCGCGACATTTTTTAGTACTCCTGCAAGCGATGTTCATCCAGGAACGATGAAAACAAACGGCACGTAAAAGCGATTAAAATTGCAAGAGAGACTACTGACGATCAATAAAAGAAATATAATTCGGCGAAAAATTTACAGAGACAACAATTTTCATTCTCGAAGACAGGTATTAAAGTGTCTTTAAAAATCATGAGTCTTTAAGCTTAAGGCTTAAGCTTAAGTTAATTATGTTTTACTTTAAGCCGACCTCCCGGTGTTTGCTTTTTTCAAAGATGAACTCCTCGAAGCTAGAAAATCGCTCAAAGTTTTCTTTCTACAGCCAAATATATAACTAAATATCCTTCGAAACGTTTTCTTTCTATTTGCGGTGAGAAAATATATCTGAAGGCCTTTTAAAGTTCTGTAAGCTTAAATCCCCCCTGATAGTAGGTCAGATCATTGACTCAAATCTTACAAACGTGCATAAACGTGCCGCATAAACTGTGCTCGACTTCATGAAATTAGATATAACAAAAACAAAGATCAAATACAATAATTACTCAAGCTTACCATTCGAGATTCAGTTCCTAAAAGCTATCAAGGAAGACACAGTTGCCTGAGACTTTTAAACCTCTTTAATATACGCATTAAGCGAGGTGAAAAACGAAAACGATGCCATCCGAAATCGGATTACCAAATTTTGACAAGCGACGCATTTCTCAACCAAAAACCCAATAAACAAACCAGCCATGAATAACAGAAGACTCTTGATAGCAGCTGTATTTCATTTTGTACATCCATTGGAAGAGGACAGTTCAAAACATCACAAGTTGACACAAAACTCTGTCAGCTTCAGCTGTCAAAGTAAACAAGTTTCAACTACATAAATTTTCCGCATGAACTCACAAGTCAAATTTTGACCAATCAGAGCCTAAAAATTGGATGTAGAGCCTGACCAACGCGTGACGATGGTAAGAAAAGGTACTTCCCGCATGTATTTTTAAAAAACTGGCTGAACTTTCGCGTCCTAGTTCAGTTTAAAATCAAACTTCTTAATAGTGCGAGGCCATTAACATAAACACAACATATTTCATATGAATCACTGGAAAAAATAAACTTGAGCCTGCGATCATTTGAAACTGGTAATTTGTCGGCGGGTAACTTCAAAAAATACTCGACCTCGATGGGTCGATACTTGAGCCCGCGGTACGGTCAGGTGGTACAGTGGATACCCTGTTTTGACAGCTGTCAATTGATCACAACATTGGTGTGCAATTAGTTTTCTCTTGAGCTCCCAAACTAGCTAGAGAGTGTGAGAGTAAACATTAGTTTCCCTGTGGCGCGGTCGGACGGTCGTTCCTTCGTTCGGTGTACGGTCACGTGATTACCAAATTTTCTGGGATAGGTAGATTTCCTTAGATATGGGGCTCCGCCCACGTTCGACGCTTCGCGCCGTGCGTGGAGCTCCGCTACTAATACGCTAAGGTAGGAGGTATGGGTGTAACATGACAAATTTTTTTGAGGGAGTACAACACGTTTTGGGCTTAGTTTATGCTTACCGTATTCAATCATATATAAAGTAAACAAAAGAGATAAAGTAAACAAAAAAAAAACTTGAATAATGTTTCGAATGCTAAATACGACAAAACGAGCATTTGGTTCGTAACACTCGCCATAAGCATCGCAGACAACTGGGCTCTTGACACAATCAAAATACGATTGACGCGATTAATCATCGGGCCATACGGATCAAATTTCGCCACCATTTTTGACCATTTCATCAGTCAGCTGAAAAAACGTCGTCGGAGAGCTTATTATGGCAGTTGGGAACACCCTTTGGAAAACACCAATAGAAAACGATTTGCGTGTTTGCAAAGCCTGATATAAACAAGAGAGGGGTTATTCGTCTCGGGTTTGCATAACTGTCTCGAAATCTCCCAACCCCTCTCGTGTTTATTTCAGTCTATGCAAATACAGGTAAAAGTTTTCTATTGCATTTATAAATTAACTTTCTAGAAAAAGCGCAAACCCTTTTTCTATGGCACTGATTAAAAGAGAAATTCTTACCAGTCGCGAAGTCTTACACGCGAAATCAGTTCTTGTTTTGCAGAAAATATGGATTTTTCTCGCTTAAAATGTCAGCTTAAGCGAGAAAAAAAAACAAGAAAATAAGTTGGCATAGCATGTTTGTAACGATTTTCCAAGTTTCGGTTGACGAGCGAAAGGGTAAATAAACTGAAATTGTCAAGTTTTCAACTCAAAAACTTTTTCAAATTCATGCTTGCATGATAAGCGCGCTAAAAGCAAAACATCCTGACGTCGCAACCACGTTTACGTATTCTCATACAAACACGCCTCTCGGTCAATCAGGGCGCCAGTACTACCTTTATTACTTAAATAAATGGGTTTAGGAGGAAGGTAGCTATAAAGAGTAGGACATATCCCGCAAGGATGATAAAGGTTGAAGATGTGATAAAGTTTGAGAACTAACCGTTAAGTACATTAGCAGAGCACCCAGGAAAATGATCTCCATGAAGCGGGGACTCGAGGCCTTAAAAATCTAGTGAGGAAGAAGAAAAACAGAATGAAGTTATTCCTTGATTACACCCCTGCAATCTATCTCATGTTTGTCTGCAAATACCAGTAATGGTTTAAAAACAAGGCGCACCAAGAAAATGGGCCTAGTAGTATATTATAAGGCTTCGTGGGCCATCAAATTTAAGTTTCTATCTGTCTTCGACCCAGATCTATAGCATTATTGCGTTCTTAACTGAGTTAATACCAGATGTTTTCTCTGTAACTGGCTCCAAGTACCCGGAGTGTATAAAATGAGCTTAGATGGGCCTTTTAAGATAGTTTCAATCACTCCTCCAACTTTCGTACATTTGATTTATTTGGCTGTCTTAGTATCTGACTTAGGTAGAATTTGAATACAAGAATACAAGAAATATACGTAATATCTGAACTGCGGATGAAGCAAATGAGTAATGAGTAATAGGAATAATCTATTGAGTATTTGACTCGTCCCCAGAAAGATGTCATTTAAACGCGGGTATCAGATAAGTCGCGGGATATGTGCATCTTTCTGGCGCACTTCTCATTCATTTCTAAACTGTGTAGTGTATAAGCCGAGTAGAGTCGGATGAAACTTAATCTGTTAAAAAAAAAAATTAGGAAATTTATTAAAACCATTTCCGAGACAGTCATACCGCACACGTGATATTCTTTGCTTGAATACCTTATCCTTCCAGTGGAGAGCCACGTACACAGCAAACACTATCGTCAAAACCATAACAGCACCATTTAGACAGCACAGTAACAGACGGATCACGATCTTCAAAGTGTAAATACATGGACTGCCATCAACACACTCGTCACATCCCTCACTGCAACGACGGCAGTCGAAGTTATTTTCGAAGGCGTTCGATTCTCCGCAGAGCATCCGATCATGTTCGCGTTCAATAACAGAGCCGTTGAATGCTTTTTCTGGAGCAAGTGCGTCTGGGAAGTAGAAGCCACGTTTGCATGTGCAAACATAGCTTCCTCTCTTGAATCCTTGGTTAAGAACTGTCTCACACTGTATCGGAGAGTAAGAAAACAAAGTCATTACTGCAAAAGATTTTCATGCATAAGAAAGTGATTCTTGTACCCCCCCCCCCCCCCCATCCCCCGAAAAGGCTTTATCATCCGACGAAAGCATTGTTAGTGGTTTTAAGATGACTTAAACTAACATGAGCGCAGTGATTCTAAAATCTGAAAGTAATTTGGAGAGAGAATACGATTGATTGTATAAGAATGTGTAATCAAATGGTGAAGAGTGAAATTAGGGAATAATTTCACGCGCGTTTTGTCAAATCCTAATAATTTCCCGAGCCTTTTTACCTATTAATATCATGGGTGACGAATTAGGTTAGCAATCTTGGATTTCTGACATGTTTATCCTGGATCGTATCGATCGAGAACTCCACTCTCTGGCCCTGTTACAACAGCGACTATACAGTACATCAGAGGCACCTCTGAAACTATTGCACGTATATTACAACCTTACAATATACGTGTTGCACACAAACCGATAACCACTTTACGGCGACTGCTTACTAATGTCAAGGACAAAGACAAATCGGAGGACAGAGAGGGAGCAGTATACAAGATCAAATGCTGAGACTGCCAGGCTTCTTACATTGGTGAAACCGGCAGAAACCTAAGCACGCGACTGACCGAACACAAACGAGTGACGAGGAATGTTGACGTCAACAATCACATTGCTGAGCACCATTTACAGACGAAACATCAAATTGACTGGGACTCTACGACATGTATAACGTATTCTACAGACTGCTATCAACGTCTTGCTTTAGAAAGCTGGTTTACTAACTTAGAACAAACGCCACTGAATTGTAGCTAACAGCTACCAGCGCCGTACAAACGACTTATTGACGAGATCAAGCAAAACTAACTACGAGAGAACGACTGGCCTGGAGAACTGACACTTTGACTAACAATAGACGACTGTTTAACTGTGACATTAGACGAACTGAAACGCACCAATTACTGATTACGAGTCTTCGTAGCCAATAACATCACGGCTTAACTGACAGACGACCAATAACATCACGACGTAACTGACCAATCAGATCAATAACTAGAGTATAATACCATCAACCGACGTGATACAACTCACTTGGACTCTGAAGATGACTACCGCACAGGTTGTCGAAACGTCAGTCATTGTCAACAACAACAGTCCTATTTAGGACTACGTTCACTCGGACGATCAAACTCAACCTACTTTTGAAATAGTATGTATATATTCGCCCATGAACAACCTTTGGCACCTTTTTTATGATTTTATGTGTGGCCTCTTGAAGGGAAATCCAGAAATGAGTTTTGTATCTCAAGAAACCAAACTTCTAAAGGATTCATCAGATGGAATCTAAAACCTAATTTCCAGGTTCATGAATGGTATGTTTCCTACGGCACAGATTCTCTTCCCCGCTGAATCTCGCCTTAAAGGGATTTTGGATTTTTCGTCTCTCCCGACGTAATTTTAACTAATCTAAAATCTTCAAGTATCTTGGATTCTCCTAAAGAAATGACGTTTAGTCAGCCCTACCTTATGTGTTTCTGCTTTTCCATTTTAAAAATACGCCCTTTAGGGATTGATTGACCAAATGTATTTTCAAAATGTCTTTATTCACATGCTCTTGCCTTTGTTGATGGCTTGCACAAATGAGTTCCCATAAACTCTATTAAATTCTCTTTGTCTCCTTGTTCAGAGGTGTATTGGTTATCACATTGGTTGATGTCGATATCGCTAAGAGCTACATCAACGCTGACCACACCACTGGAAAACGAAGGAAAAGTGTGATTAGTCCTTTACAGGGTTGACACAATGTAACTGCTTTTAAAGCGAGAGATGCCATCTTAGCACTTAGGAACCTAAAGTCTCTGATTCACTGCCTCTCGCTGAGTGAGTCATTTGAACTCGATTTGAGCCAAAAAGCTCTTGTAATATATAGATTTAGCCAGGGCTAAAAGCAAGGCCCCCATTAATAAATCTATAATTTAAATCAAACAACAAACTTGTATTCCACAATTCAGCTAACTGTAGAGCACACTCATGATGTGACTTTTCAGGGAAGGCTAAGTGATTTTAGAGAAAAATAACAGCCCAAGAGTGAACCAAATCTTACATCGAGTTGATAGCCTCATATGTACACCCAAAAACTCACAATCGTCTTCGATTACATTTGTTAAGAGCCACATAAATGGCTCTTGATCACCGTAGGTTAATTAGGCCTGGAAAAAAAATTCCGGGCGAATTTTTTGCGTTCGAAAAGTTTACTTTACAAAATCTTGCCAACAAATCTGGGTGCGTGTAAACCAACCTTATATATCATTTATACGTCACCTCTGAGGTGAAACAGTACTATGAGGCACTGTTTTTATCATACAGACCTCGGACAACAGAATGAAGTTTTTCACAATTTTGCAATACAAATTGCTATCATTCAATATTCAGGACGATCGAAGCACGCGAGGGTTTTAGCTAAACCGTTAAAAAAAAATTTCCAAAATCACCTATACGGCCAGCCGGTTCTGACTTTTGCAGTGCTAGCTGTAGCGAGTGTTTGAATGAACATTAACACCGTTACGTTAAAATGGTTTAACGAGCAGCATTTTGAGCACTGCGGGAAGCGATGTTCACTGAACGACTGAAAACAATCGGCACAGCGATTAAAATTACAAGAGAGACTACTAATAATCAATAAAAGAAATATAATTCGGTGAAACATATACAGGGACGACAATTTTCATTCAGAAAGACAAGTATTAAAGTGTCTCTAAAAATCCTGAGTCTTCGAGCTTAAAGCTGAAGTTTATGTTTTAAGCCAGCTTCCCGGTGTTTCCTTTTTTCAAAGACGAGCTCGAGGCAGGAAAATCGCTCAAAACTTTCTTTTACAGCCAGAATTATAACTAAATATTCTTTGGAACGTGTTCTTTCTATTTGCGGTGAGAAAATGTCTAAAGGCTTTTTAAAGATCTGTAAGCTTATAACAAACCCGATACTCGGTCAGATCATTGTCTCAAATCTTACAAACGTGCATAAACTAAATACCCGCATAAACTACTCTCCTCTTCACTAAATTAGACATAAAAAACAGACATCAAATAAAATAATTACTCTGGCTTACCACTCGAGATGCAGCTCCTGAATGGGATCACGTAAGGCCAGTATCGCTTCACACTTTGCAACCGTCTTACGCATTAAGCAAGTCAAATTTTGACCAATCAGAGCATAAAAATTGGACGTAGAGCGTGACCAACGCGTGAACATGGTGAGAAAAGTCAAAGCAATTGTCTTCCCTGCCTGTAGCAGCTGGTTGAACTTTCGCGTCCGAGGTCGGTTTGAAATCAAAATTTTAATTGTGCGGCACATAAACATAACATATTTCATTTCAATTTAAAAAAACATTAAACTTGAGCCTGCGATCATTTGAAAACCAGTACCTTGTCAGCGGATAACTTCAAAAAAATAAGTGACCTCGATGGGTCGACACCAGAGCCCGCGATACGCTCAAATGATACTGGTCAGCGGATACCTTGTTTTGACAGCTGTCAATTGATCACAACATTCATGTCCAAAAATGTGTATCAGTTTTCCTGTGCTCCGATCCCAAACTAGCTAAAAACTATGAGATTGAACATTAATCGTGATCTAGTAAAACAATTAACTGGTCAGCGGACAGCTTCCAAATAAATCACGTCACCTCAATGACTTGACACATGAGCCCGCTATATGGTCATGGGATACTGGTCAGTGGCTATCCTGTTTTGACAGCTGTCAATTGACCATATTGTGAATGTCCAATGTAAAAGATGTGGACTTGCCAAGACACGCCTGAGACACCCCTCCCTTCCTTTTTATAGTCTCCCCTAACCTACCCGTACAATCCGTAGACGCGTACTTACGTACGTACGTACGCTCGGTCAATCACGTGACAACCAAACGATAAGAGGTTGACCATATTCTATGAGTATGGGGCTCGCGCGCGTGGGAGTCCCGTTAAAAACTGTCTCATCCCATTCTGGGACTTATTTAGACCAATGGGTCCAAATCAGCTTCATTTTAAGGCCGAAATTACTATGAACCAATAACCCCAACGGTGTACTCTGCAGTTTACTCGACAACGACTCCCAATGAATTCGGGCTAAAACAGGCCTTTTAAATTTGCAGTGATATTAGTATAGGTAATAGCATTCTTTGTAGTGATATTTGGCATAAATACCACGAGTGATATTTCAAAATTGTCTCAAATTTCTCTCGCCTAACGGCTCGTGAAATTACGTACGTAATACGTAGCTTTAATTCTGTTGATCATCATGTGCCATACAACCTAACAAAGCTGAAGAAAAAACACCTGTTTTCTTCAAACGAAATAACACCTATTCAGATAACTAAAAAGTTAATAAGTAATGTGATAACTTCAAATGCCTGGTTGGAAAGATGCATATACTTTGTTTTAATCCCACTGTTGACTTAATGGTTTGAACATTATCGGTGTTTCCATTTTATCTAATTCGGTATATGGAGTAGTTCGCTACATTATTCAAGACATCTTTCTTCTTTTTTTCTTTCGTTCGTTCGCTAATTTTGCCTATCAACAAAGACAGAACAGTGTATAGCCCTTTACTACTTCTTGACGACAATTGGATGGTTATAGGAGTTTTACTTTAACAAGAACGCCTAACTTTTGTCCATAAAGCTAGATAATTAAGCATGCACTTATTAGATGTCAGTTTTTCGCCGCTTCAATCATTTTATAACAAAAAAAAATTATATGGTTTTTACAAACTTTAAAAAGCCTGTTGGAAATTTACCGCTGTAAAATTGTTCCTTTTTGAAAATAAATAAATCAATAAATCAATAAATAAATGATGCACATGAAATATCCTGATGAATACTAAGACAAACCTTTTTATGAACGTATGTTAGAGATTGGTCCCAAGATTCTGAGATTTTATTTAAGTTATATTTTTTTTAAAGGAAATTTTCAATTTTTTTATTAATGTGAACCGCTTGTGGACTCTAAAGGAATAAGCGCCACATAAATAAATTGTTATTATTATTATTATTATATGATGATGATGCAGGTGGCGCAGTTGAACATGTCACTGGATGTCACAGATGCAAGTCTTAAAGAAAATGCTTCAGTCTCATTCGTCCATTTAAGTAGTGTTTTATTTGAACGGTTTTCTTTTAAGAATTCTGAGGTTCTCCTCGTACGATTTTGTTCCATTCTTTTAAAGATAGCATATTCCTTGTTTTCGTGCTATCGTGGCTACTTAACGTAATAATTAGGCATGCACTTATTACATGTCAGTTTTTCGGATCTTATCAAGCTTTTAATTAAAAGCCGCTTCAATATTTTGATAACAAAAAAATTGTATGGTTTTTAAAAACTTAAAAAAGCGGCCATTGGAAATTTAGTGCTGTAAAAACCGATATTAGTTTTTGTTCCTTTTTGAAAAAATAAATAAATAAATAAATGATTCAGATGAAATATCCTGATGAAAACTAAAACAAACCTTTTTATGAAGGTATGTAAGAGATTGGTCCCAAGATTCTGAGATTTTATTTAAGTTATATTTTATTTTTTACCGAAATTTTCAATTTTTTTATTAGTGTGAACCGCTTGTGGACTCTCAAGGAATAAGTGCCATATAAATGAATTGTTATTATTATTATTATTATTATTATTATATGATGATGATGATGCAGGTGGCGCAGTTGAACATGTCACTGGATGTTCCAAATGCAAGTCTTAAAGAAAATACTTCAGTCTCATTCGTCCATTTAAGTAGTGTTTTATTTAAACGGTTTTCTTTTAAGAATTCTGAGGTTCTCCTCGTACGATTTTGTCCCATTCTTTTAAAGATAGCATATTCCTTGTTTTCGTGCTATCGTGGCTACTTAACTTAAATGGTAGTAATGGAATCGCGAAATGCGATGTGGTCACCTACTGGGTGCAAATTTTATGTGATCATTTAGGCATAGAATACAGTAAGCTAAAGGATGTCGGGAGACTTAAGAGTATAGTACAGAACGGGCCTCTTTCAGAACTCTACCCTCTGTGCTATAAGAAATTTGTGCCAAAATGTTCCTAAAATGACATCTCCTTACTGAAAAAAAAAATGCAGTCGTAACTGTATTGAAGCAGATAATGCAAACTTCAGCAGGACAGAACAAAATTAATCGGGTGTAATCCTTACGAAAGTAAATTATGCAAAATATATCTGACTATTTAACTTGTTAGTCGCATGCAAATATTAAAAATAACAAGTTAAAATTTACATTTGCAGTTCAGTTTAAGCAGACAAGCGGAGAATTCCACTATATAATCAAAAAAGAAAAATAAACACCTGACCGATTGTACTTTTAGAGCAGTTCTTGTTGTGATGGGTGAATTATCCGCAATCGCAATAAAACAGTCGCACTAGAATAGATGGTTTTCACAGTGACGTCATCAAATTGTAAAGTCAAAATAGCGAGGTTTTACGAATTCTTATATTCACTAGGTTGACGATAAACAAAAAGTGAATCTTTGTACAAGTTTCCATTTCCGTAGTATGTTTCATTTCGAAAATACAGCAATTTGAACTTCCAAGTTGTCACAGTGCGTGACACCAAAATTAGAATGCTGTCTCATTGAAAAAAAGTCTCTCCTGTTGATTTTCAGCAGTATAACCATTTCAAGTGTCGGACGATATGTTTATCCGCGCGTATGCTAGTTTTCGAGTGAAAAGAAAGAGCTTTTGTAGAAAAAGTGAACTCCAGATGTTTTTGTCTTTTTCCGGGGCCATATTGGTGCACCAAAACGGTGCATCAATATGGCGTCTCCATACAAAGCTCTACAAAGGTGCGTGAAACGTTTCGGCAAATAACTCAGAAACTGTCGGCCACGAAGACCTGAAACGTTGACAAATTGTTTAAAAATTAGTCTTTTATAACATGTCATTTTCTTGGCTTCTTCCACCGGACGGTTTCCAATTTATTTTTTTTTGTTGCGTGACAGTGAAAACGATCTATAGATTAAATTGCCAACATAAATAATATTATACCTGGCAACGAAACCTTTAAATTACTCTCCCTTTCTTCTGTTTATTTTTCACGCAAATTTAACGCAATAAAATCAGAAGGCATCTAGCTAAAACACACAGCAGAATTCAACAGGAAACACTGATACTTACAAAAATTCATCTGTTTCATTAAAAATTGGCGCGAGATATGTGACCATCCAAACCTTGCCTCCAAAGCAGTCGAAATAAGGTCGAGTCCAGGTTCCACTTTCAAACGTTACACGAGGAACTACCACTGTTTTTTTCGCCTTTCTCGCGGTTGCGTTGAAACGCTCCTCGTATATGCTGGAGGATTTTGCGGGTTTGAAGGTGAGAGCATTGTTTTTTGGTTTGTGCCACCAGGGCGTGTTTAGATCAGTGGTATAGTCAAAATCCCCATTGGCTATATCAAACACATGAACACTCCCGTTTAGGTTGGAATCTCGGAAGGCGTACGGGCAAAATCGTGTGTAGTTTTTGTACGAATTGTTGTCAAAACAGATCGCTGATCCGAACACAGACGGCGAAAATAACACGTTTGAGCGGACATAATGGTAAAGCAGAGCATCGTTTGCTGCTACAGGATAACCATTATCCCCGGGAACGCGCCATAAAGATGTCATCAAGTTAGCAACTTGCACGGCCAAAAGCGCCTCTTTTTTCCATCGCCGTTCGTCGAATGTTATATTCAGCAGATCAAACTTGCTACAGCCTTTGTTTTCACGTAGCTGTCGCTCAACATCTGCAACTTTGCGAAGTGCCTCTATTACTGATTCAATTCGGGTTCTACTGCTCTCTCCGCCAAGACTATAAGACGTTTTTTGTCCAAGACTATTGCCCATTGCACCTGGAAACGTCTCCACCCAGCCCTTTCTACTCATAATATCATGAACTAATACCATTAAAAAGAAGAATGTCAATTTTCGTATCTTCATCTTTATGTGAAATACTATTTTTCCATCAAAGCTACATTGATGAAAATTAAGAATTTGTTCATGCTTAGCGTGCGTATATCGAGTTATGGATGCACGCGGGAAGTTTGGAGAGCACGAAAGATTCGTAAGAGTTGCACGAGGCGATAGCCGAGTGCAACTCTAGCTTCTTGAGTGCTCTCCAAACTTCCCAAGTGCATCCATAACTCGATATACGCACAGCTAAAAGCATGAGCAAATTCTTTTATAACATAGCTGACAAAAATCAGTGCTCGCTTTTTGATTAACTACAAAATTCTCGTAACGCGCGACACAAAACAAACGGTTCTATTGGCTGATTACGAACACGCCACAATCGTCTAGTTTGAATGAAAATATTCTTTTTGTAAAAGTGAGAAAGAAAATTTGCTTTTTTATTCGTTAACGATCAATGGAAACTAAGCAGAAACAAAGGTAAAAGAGTCTTAAAGTTCACCTAAAGTTGAACTGCTAACATGTTCGTAAGAAGTCGTGGAGTATGGTTTGGATTTGCTGAAAAGATGTTTACGTTTTGCTCGGCGAAATCCAGAAAGCATGTTTTTAGCGAAGACGACTGTCATCCTTCTTTGAACTTACATTCATTTACGAACATTGGCTGGTCATTACGGCTTCATGAGAGGACCTGGCAGCAGTTGCTTTTGTGAGTAATATATCTATGTCTTCTTGTGTAATTTGTGTTGTTATTGCGAGAGAAATTTTCCTGCTTCAGTCGGATTGTCCGGAGATAACAAAGTGCATAACAATTTTAAAAACAACAATAAAAACGGAAATTTTGCCTTGTTGATGGCCAGTTGGTGTCTGTTCTGTTCCCAGTGAATGTCTTTAGGCCAAAATTTGCTGCAGCTAGTCTTCGACAAATTTGCGAAACGCGCAACTTGCGAGTTTTTTTTTTTTTTCATTCGGCTTTATTTTTGCTGCTTGTTGGATCAGGACCTAAAAGGTCAATACCGACAGAAAAATTGGGCAGTTCTTCGCTGTTTTCTTCCATATTTTAAAGAGAACGAAAAGTGCACTAAAAGACGACAACTTTGCAGCCAGGTAAGAAAAAAAATGCTCACGTCATCTTATTTACGCACGGGCGTGCGTAAATAAAGATTTTGTTCATAGCGGCTCAATAGGACTTATATAGGGCAAGCACGCGCGCTATGTTATAAATTCATATTTACTTTACTGGTGAGAAAAGGTGAAAGAGTGTACGTGGTTTCAGGGTCGGGTTGTATGATACATCAGGGAATGCGAGCCGTATTTGTATAGTTATTGGTTGTAGCCGTATTAAATAACAAGCTAGCCTTTTTTCCCGACTCTTAATTCGGTCATTAAAAGATTTAATTTTTATACTTAATTGCCTTTTTTTTTTAGGAAACTTGACTGGACGAAAAGGAAGAAAGGCATCCTTAAGAAACAGCGTTTATCGGCTTATGGGTCACAAAAATGGCAGTAAAAGACAGAAATCCCCTGACAGGTGTTCCGGAAATGAAAACTGTCATTTTAACAAACAAACGCGGACATACAGTTCACCAAGGAGATCGAACAAAATGATAAAATACCTTTTCTAGACTGCTTGGTCATTGGCGACAACAACAAACTAAAAACGACTATTTACAGATAGCCTGTATACAGACGTCCCCTCCCCCTCAGAAAAAATGGGGAGAAGAGACGTCTGTGAATCGCCTTCGTTAATCGTGTTCTGGTGACATTTGCATAAATTATTATTATTATTTTTCTCTCTGACAGTTGAAAAGGTGTTGACAGGCCAACACTACTCTGGACTTTTTTAGAGTACGTACGCAGTTATACTCTCGGATGTTCTCAACTTTTATAGCAAAGCTAATAAGCTCTAACTAGAATATCTATCTAAAATGTCATTTACAACGAGTATATTATGCCTTCTTCATATATTCTAACACGTTCTTCGGTCTTCTTTTAGCTCATGCGTCTGTTTACTGTGCATCGATTTCCTGTGGATTTCGCTTTGACAGAGTTTTGATCTCGGAAGCACTGTTTACATTTCCAGTCAAGCGTTTTATGCAGGAGTTGGTCCATTCAATGATTTCGAGTAGGTTTCACGCAAAGGATCGTTCAGTTTTCTTTAGCAAGGAATTATAATAGAAATAGCTCTACTTTTGCCTAATTCTACGAGTCATGACCGGCACATGTAGGCCGAATGAGCCTTTTACAGACGCCAGGGGGCGTCTGTAATAGGCTAGCCGAACATTTTCACGCAATGTCCATGCTAAAATCCAGATATACGATCTCTGATTAGGCGTTGAATTCTTTACGTCCTTCTCTTTTATTTACGATAGCCACCGACAGGGAACAGACGCACCGGCAACCGGTGCAGTAAACATCCGTTAATTTGACATGCCCATTCCACAGAGTGTTAATACAAGTAAACAAATTTAAATGCGGTAAGCTGTCCACAAAGGCTGAGGTTTTCCCTGGGGAATCTATTCTGAGATTTATTCACCAGTAACAACACTGGAAATTATTTGCGCCATCGCAATAACATTACAACGAATCAGAGGCTTTCCCCAGCATTCCGGGGAAACGGGAACACGATTCACGATGGCGATTCACAAACTTCTCTTCTCCTGATTTTTTGCTGAGGGAAGGGGGACGTCTGTACACAGGCTATTTACAGAAAACTGACACATACCGACCGATTACTAGACCAGTCTTGGTACAATCCGACCTCTCACAAGGCTTCTACTACCCGGACTGTGACGAGACGAGCGCAACTAGTTTGCGACTCACATGAAAGCCTACAAGACGAGACTGATTATCTTAACAACGTTTTTAGTAAGAACAATTACAACACGGACTTTGTTAGACGGGACACTCACAGTAAATAAGGAGTGGGAACCTTAATTGAGAGTCAGTCCTTGGAAACATTTTTTATCAAAGGCAAATAATGACTAAATTCTGTATTTACAATTAAAGCTACTCGGATTTGTTTTCTGTCATTGAGCCATATGATATCGAAAGAGCTCGAAGTTTTGAAACTAACTAGAAGGAAATATTTCTTGGCCCAAGATCTTGGCCATCAAGTTTAAGAGTTGCGTTAGACACAAAGTAAGAAAGAAGTTTGTATTCAAGCATTTTCTCTGTGTTAGAGGTAATCAACAAAAGCATGTAGAATTAAATGCTAATCGAAAATCACAATTGAGGAAAGCGAGTAGGAGTTACACGACACCGCTATACCAAATCTTGCGTGATGATAAATTGGCCAAATTGAGCTTGTAAAAACTGGACAGGCAGGAGCGAGGCACCTTCCAAGTTTATTTTTTAATCATTTTGTCCTAACACTAATGTGGGCCAATCAACTTTTTCGTCACCAGTGCGTAGACCTTCAATTTGAAGAAATGACAAAGTTGTAATACGTCTAAAATCTACTGAAGAAAAACAACAGCTCTCAAATTTGGTCAGGAAAAGCTTTGCGTGTTGTATAATATCCAATCTTACTTTTTTCACCTAGAATGTCAATAGCGTAAGTCTGGCCAAATTACTGAAAAGTTGGCGAAAAAAAATTTTAGACACAGCATGAAATTTGTGGGTCTTCAAATAATTACAAAACCGCCGACTTGTTAGTTTTTTTTATAATTATTTTACTTCGCTTTTTATCCATCCTAAAACGGTTTCCATCGAAGACTTACGCTGTGCTCACGTCAGGGATAACAAACATGACATGTTTCCATTGTTTCATCCATGATTTTTGTTTCTTTGACAACGCTTTTCTGGCCCTGGTTTACACCTATGCTGTTTTGAGGAACAGACAGAAATTCGAATAAAAATTGGCTATCATCCAAGAGCCGGTAAAAGAAAACAAGTACAGTCTGAATCCAAATCGGAATATTTCATGATTTTGTGATTTTGTTTAACTTGCTGACCATTGGAGATTAATTGACATCTGAGCATTTGCAGGCAAATAACTTTCGCGCTTAATAGCGCTTTCTACTAATGACGTCACAAATTTCTGGTCCCTGCTGTGACTCAGACATTAAACCTGACCAGTGTAAGAGTTTAGTATGGGAAAGTCACGTTCGGTAACAAATTTTCGTCGTCTTTGAAGATGTTTATCGTTAAACGAAACAAAATCCACCTTGGTTTCGATAATAAATATCCTGAAAATAATCAACTCGTGCCAAGACAGCGTTAAACGTGGAAAAAACTGTACAGATGAGTGGTTTTATTTCTTATGCGGCGTCACATTTGCTGTGGGTAAAATTATGTTAAAATGTGTGGAGAACAGGGCTTCATAGCTATGCGTGAAACGCTGCATTTGGTTAAATTTATAGGCAAAGGTTGCTCAATTTTTTTTCGAGTGCTTATGTTACGCTATAGTACTACGGGATATAAAGTACTAAAGTATTCGTCGCGGATTCATATGGTCTACCTGGCCGCACAACAACAGAACAAACTTATACAATTTCCGGTTTGTGCTAATGTTGGTGTGCTTTTCACCGTAGATATTTTGTCACAGGCCTGCGAGAAGCACATCCCAACTCGATTTTCTCTTTAGCAATTTCGGTTTTGGAGTATTACACAGCCAATAATGTTATGTCATGTTTCAGTGCATAGCGGTGCTTTCTGCCTAAGACACAGAGCTAGGGATCCGATTTCAGTAGCCTTCTTTGATCGAGTCGCTTTATTTTCTGATTTTAACCATTTGTTTGAGTTACTGGACCAGGATTTGCTCCCAATAGCAGTAGGGCCTTTTATATATTGGAATTATGCTCAAAAAACATTTTAAAAACGCTAACTTCGAATTTTATGAACAGTTTTCATGTCGGAAACGTATGTTTCCCATACAAAGCCTTGGAGTAGAATGCAAAGTTTGTCTGAGTCACGCGGGGGGTCTAAGGTGACAAAACCTATTTTTAGTAATAGTATAAAGCGCTATTGTTTCACCTGGCATTGCCTTCAAACTATCA